CAAAGTATATGTGAACTGCTGTATGGAAAGTGAATTTGCTCTTTAAATCTTCACCCAAATCACAATAAAAAAAAAAGAAGAAGAAGAAAAAGAAATTTTAGGATTAATCAATTCATTTATTCAATAAATATTGTTTTGAGGAATTACTGCATGCCAAGCCAAGCATTAGGAATGCAATGGTGCATAGAATAGACATTGCCCTTGCTCTTTCATAGAACATACAATGTGATGCAGGTATTGGCAGCTACTGCTTTCAGCTTTAGGCCAAATCCAGCCTACTTCCTCTTTTTGTAAATAAAGTTTTCTTGAAACATAGCTATGCCTATCAACAGCAGACTTGAGTAAGTGTGACAGAAACCCTTTGATTTACAAAGCTAAAATGCTATTTGACCCTTTACAGAAAAGTTAGCTGACTCCTGTGTAATGATGGAGAAGTAAGTAGAATATACTCTCCTGAAAGCATGAGCCACCAATGTTTTAAGTAAGGAAAGTATTTGAATGTTAGAGAAGTCACTATGGCGTCTATCTATGAAAAAGTATTAAAGGGAAGCAGTAATTACACACATTAAGATAAGAGGAAGCACTAAAGTATATAGTTAAGAGCATGGACTCCTGAGCCAGACTTCCTGGGTTCAAATTTGGTTAGACTACTGTCTGATTCTGACTTCAGATAACTTCTCTGTCAGTTTTCTATCTGTGAAATAGGGATGGTGATCATAGCACCTAATTTATGAGATTAAATGAATTAAAATATGCAAAGCACTTAAAACAGTGTTTGCAATCATCACTATTATTCTATTATTATTACTAGTGTAGTAATCCTGTTAAGAGGTGAGGGTGACTTGAAGAAGGCAATAGGAGTGAGGAAACAGGAGCTACTGAAGCAATAAAATTGACATGAATCAGTGACTGACTGGATGTCAGGAAGGTGGATAAAAGACAGCGAGAAGTTGAAGATGACATGCAGATTTTGCACTTGATCAGTTGAGTGAACGGTGGTTCCAGTCCCTGAGATAGTTGACAGTAAGCCATGCAGATTTGGTATGTGGGGTAGATGATGAGTTCAATTTGGGGTATGTTAAATTTAGGTACCAGAGAGATATATGTGGAAATGTTCAGGAAACAGTTGATTATAAGGTCAGAGATCAGAATTCTGATGTGGGCTGGAGAATGGATGTAGTAATTACCAGTCTGTAACTGGCCACTAAACTTGAAAGAGAATGAGATAACCTAGGATGAGGGTGGAATGACAAGAAGGCTTCTAACAGAATCCTAAGGAAAACCAACAATTAAAGATTGGACACAGAACTCTTAAGTCAACAGAAAAGATCAAACTATTTTTGGAGGAAGATAAGCATTAAGTTTGAATCAATTAAAAATTCTCTTGTCATATATATGCATGCATGTTAATTAATGTATATAACATCTGGGTTCACAAGAAATTGGTCGCAGTGGTTGAATTTATAGAAGAGAAGGCAGGAAAACTTGCTTTTTATTATATACCCTTTTGGATCTTTTGAATTTTGTGTTTTATGTTTATATTCCTAAATAAATAGATATGTTTTAAGATCCTTTTAAAAACTAAAATCAATCTTTCTTTAGCCAACCCTTACCAAAACTTCAACATCAACTAAATTAATATCTGAATTAACTGGCTTTTTTGTAGAGATTTTTGTATCTGAATAAACTACAGCAACTGGTTTGTTTGGTTTCAATGAAACAAAGTTTTTAACCTTTCTTTTTAAGATAGTTCTAGCAGTGTAGAAAAATTTTGGTCACATGGTGTTGATTCTATTATTACTCTGTTAAGAAACAATATGATGTTTGTGTGCGGTGAAATAGCAGATCAGTTAGCTTATTTTGCAGTTGCTCTAGTTCACCTTGCTTCTTCCCTAGCTGTACACACTGTGTAATCCCCTTGTCTAATTATAGTGAGTGGCTTTCCCTTTAAGCCAGTAATGCTCAAGCTTGGATACATATTAAAATCACCTGGGGAGCTTTTAAAACTCTAGTTGCCCAGACCAATTAGATCAAAATATTTGAGGGTGGGGCACAGACATCAGTATTTTTAAAAGCTACCAAGGTGATACTGATATTGAGAAACATTGCTTTGTGCAGATAATGGTACTGGTTTAGACATACGCATCATGTTTAATACATCAGAAGCAAAAGCACTCAGGATTTCTAACCAGAAAGTCTACATGGGAATGAGTTAAAATCCAAACAGAAGAGGAAGGCACCCCTTACCAGATAATCCACCCATGCAGAATCTGTTTTGTTTTATGCCACCTCAGGAATGAGGCAAACTAGGTGTACAGTATTAGTTGGTTAGAGCTGTGTGGTAGTTAACCTTGTGTGTCAACTTGGCTGGTCATGATGGATTGGCTGGGCAGCTGGATGTAGTCTCAGCCATGGTGAGACTGGCAATCAATACCATGGTGGAATCTACTGGAGCAGCTTGAGTAGCTGCTTTAGGGATGTGATCTGCTTCCAGTATATAAGAAGCAGCTTTGAGACAGGTCTTTAGCTTTTTGGCATGCTTGAACTCTCCATGTAGCTGAGTATTCATTCAGGAGCCTGCCATGCTCTGCTGATCTTGGGACTTTTGATGGACTTGAATCAATGGCCTGCCATGTGGTTTGGTAATACTGGGACTCTGCCTTATTACTTGTCAACCTTGGGCTTGTCAGCCTCAGCAGCCTGCAGCTGCCTGAGTGAAGAAAAGCCTGTAGCTTCAGTGGGCCGGGAGCAGGAGGCAGAGCTGAAGTCCAAGGGTGTGGGGCTTTCGCCCATTCCCTAGAGCCTGGCACTTTGAACTCACACTTAAAACCTCCAAACTGTAAGAGAATAAACTGTTAGAGCATCCCATTTGTGGTATATTCCTGTCAGAGTGACACTAGGTAACCAGAACAGGCTGCCATAACAAAGAACCACAAACTGGGTGGCTTAGAACAACAGACATTTATCCCTCACAGTTCTGGAGGCTAGAAGTCTGGATTCAGGGTGTCAGCAGGGGTATGCTATCTTAGTTCCCTAGTGTTGTTGTAACAAAAAATAACATAAAGTGGATGCCTTTAAAGAACAGAAATTTAGTTCCTCACAGTTCTGGAGGGTAGAAGTCCAAATCAGAGCACCAGCTCTAGAGGAAGTTCCCTCCTTGTTCATAGCCCTGGATATTCCTTGGCATTGCTGGGCTTGTACATGATTTTTCTCTTGTGCGTATCTATCTCTCTGTGTCTGTACTCCCTTTTTAGGACACCATTCAGAAGTGATCAAAATGTTTGTTGTTACTGCTCTTGTCAGTTGCTGTTAAGTAAACACCTGTTTGTGGCCCCCTTATGTATAAGAGAATGAAACATTTATCTGTAAGGTTTTCTTTGGCTGATTTTTGGAAGTAGATTGCTAGGCCTTTCTTCCTTGTCTGTCTGATTCTGGAAGCTCTGCTGAAACCTGTCTGCCATGAGTGACCCTGCTGGCTTTTGAAATATAGCTTCCAGAGTCATAGCACATACAAGCCACCACAATACCACACACTGACAGACAGGTTTAGATTTAGGATCTACCCTACTCCTGTATGGCCTTACTATTATTAACATAACAAAAGAAAAGCCCATATTCACAAATAGGATCATATTCACGGGTATAAGGGTTAGGAATTCAGCACATGTTTTGGGGAAAAACAATTCAATCTAAACACATGCTTTCTCTGAAGGCTCTAGTGGAAGATCCTTGTCTCTTCTTGCTTCTGGTAGCCCTAGTCTCTGCCTGCATGATCATATGGCTGTCTTTCCTCTGTGTCTGTCTGTGTTTATTCTTCTCTTCTTACAAGGACACCAGTCATATTAGAATAGGACCCACCCTTCTCCTGTATGTCCTCCTGTCTGTTAGTTAGTTACATGTGCAGAGACACTATTGCCAAATAAGGTCATATTCACAGTTTCCATGTGTTAGGAATTGAACATATTTTTTTGAGAAACACACATTCAGCTCCTAAAAAAGTAGATACTGAGTGTGGCTTAAAAGACCAAGCTGATCTGGTTATACTTATTGTTAAGGTGTTTTTTGAGTTCTGTTTCATCTGAATTTTCACTGAGTACAAGACACTGAATTTGGGCCATTGAGTACACATCTCCACCTTGTTCCCATCATTCAAGGCATGGAGCCAGCCTACTGATGGGTGACATCTAATATTACTGCCACCATATTGCTGTATCATTGACAAAGTTATATTTATCATATACAAGATGACTGGGAAAACCACACATTGCACAACATGACTTATTTTTTAAGTGTTTGTTGTAATCGAAGATCCTAGAACCTCACTGCTCCAATCCTTAATAATTTGCTTTATTAGCAAATCATTGTTAGAGTGTAGGAGCTCTGGTGGTGTGCATTTCAAACCCATCAGCTGCTCTGAGGGAGGAAGATGAGGTAATCTACTTCCATAAAGATTGACAGCCTTGGAAACCCAGTGGGGGTTGCTATGAGTCAGGATCAACTAGATGGCAGTGAATTTGTTTTTTGTTTTTGCTTTTTTTTTTTTCTTTTGTGGTCGGAGAGTTAGATTTACAAGGGAAAAGGTAAAATTTGTCCTTTTATTACCTCAGCCTCTTTTTTTAAAAAAACATAAATATTGATATCATAAACTCTGTTTTGGTGGTTTACTTTCATGTACTCATTGTATATCCCCCTCCCTTTTATATAGGAAGACAGAGATGTCAATAACCCCATGCCTAACCGAGGAGGCAATGGATTAGCTCCTGGGGATGACAGATTCAAACCTGTGGTACCATGGCCTCATGTTGAAGGAGTAGAAGTGGACTTAGAGTCTATTAGAAGAAAAAACAAGGCCAAAAATGAACAAGAACACCATGCTGGCAGAGATTCCCAGAAAGACATAATACAGAGGCAGTATGTCACATTTAAGCCTCAGACATTCACCTACCATGATCCTGTGCTACGTCCAGGGATCCTCGGTAACTTTGAACCCAAAGAACCTGAGCCTCATGGAGTGGTTGGTGGCCCTGGAGAAAAAGCCAAGCCCTTGGTTTTGGGACCAGAATTCAAACCTGCTGTTCAAGCCAGCATTAAAGAGTTTGGATTTAACATGGTGGCAAGTGACATGATCTCACTGGACCGCAGCGTCAATGACTTGCGTCAAGAAGAGTAAGCACACATCCTCTTCTTTCTAAAATTGGGGCAACTATTGTTTTGATAGATATTTACATTTTGTTATACATTGTTAGAATGGAGAAAATATGCCTTTATTTCAAGGAAATAAGAGGATCAATAGTCAGCACTATGGTCAGAAGGAGATGGTCCCTCCTTTAATGTTATCATATAGTATGGGTTCCACATATAGAAGCCTCGCATCTCCTATGTCAGTGCTACTCTAAATGTGGTCCCCATACTGGACCGATCAGTACAGTTTTTGTTGCTAGTCCAAAATGAGAAAATGAGGTTGCATCAGAATGTGAATCAGCAACACCATTAAACACTTTGTTTAGTTCAGCTGACAACTGTTTAATAGCAAAATTTTCATTGATGTGCTGATTTTCATCCTGGAGCAAGCTGCTTTTCTTGTTGTGGAACAATAACAAATAGTAGCACTGCTTTAAATGTCTCCTGTGTAATTACCTAGGTATTTGTGTTTTCTTTTTTCCCCCTCATCTGAAAGTGAAATTGAAACTCTTAAGTATAAGTAAAAGGATCACTCAACCAAATAAAACCTTGCCCTAAATCTTCAAATTCTTTTCATATAGTTTTATTTTCATATGAAGGATTTCTAACTCTTAACCATTGATAAATAATGATTATTGGATGAACTCAAAGCATTTCTGTTTCTGTTTATTCAATAACTAGTTCTACTGCTGTAACATCAAAGGAGTTTCCATTAATCTGGATGCAAATTTAATTCACTGCTACTAGAAAACTCTCTAAATGTATTCCTGATGATGTTGTTGTTGTTGTTGTTGTT